TGGCGGGTCCGGGCTGGGGATTCGAACCCGCCACCTTAGGTGTACGTGGCTGGCGCCTTAGCCGGTTGAGCTATAGGCGCCGAGCCAAAATATTCTTTAAAAAGTTTCATCCAGCCAGGTGAGGTGGTTCACACCTGTAATCCTAGCACTTTGGAAGGCTGAGGTGGGTGGATTGCTTGAGCTTAAGAGTTAGAGACCAGCCTGAGGAAGAGTGAGTCCCTGTCTCCAAGAAAATGAAAAACTAAGGCAAGAGGATTGCTTGAGCCTAAGAGTTTGAGGTTGCTGTGAGCTTCGATACCATAGCACTCTACCAAGGGTGACAAAATGAAACCTCTGTCTCAAAAAAAAAAAGTTTCATCCAAAACTCCTGGTTTATCATTACAAGTGGGTTTTTCTGAAGCATTGGTTTGATTCTCAGTGATATTTTTACTTCTTTAAAATGCATAGGGTAAAAAAGATAAAACAAAGTAATTCCTAATTAATATAGTTTGGAAAAAGTGCTAAGAGTACTTGCAAAGTTCAATAAATTTCATACTCAGAATTTGATTTCTATTGAGTGAAGTGTTTTTTTGGTTCTTTTTTTTTTTTTTTTTGACATTTGTATACGATTTATTTCCTTAACCACAGTGTTTTAGAGTGATAGCACTCACCCTATTATAGAAAGAATAACTCAAAATCCACCAAAAGTTAAAGGTCAAAAGCCAAAGTCAGGTCAGTAAGAGTTTCATCCACTATTTGGGGAATTTTTTTTTTTTTTTTTTTGATTAATGAAAGAGTTGATGTGCAGAACACCCTGTTTTGAGCTTGGCATGACTTCTGACGACCACCGCCAGGGACTAGACTTCATTGCTTCATCCTGCTCTGGCTGTGCTGGTGGGTGGTAGCTTTTTTTTTCAAGATGGCATCTAACTCTGAAGTATTATCATCTTTATTAGTCACTGTTGTCTTCATGGGGCCACTCACTGGCCTTGACATCACTGCACTAGCAGGGGAATAGTTCTTGTCAAAGTCATTCAGCATTAACAGGCTTATGTATTGGATTTGCTTGTTATCCATTTTCCTCTCTGAAAACTGGTTGTTGTTTTTTCTGTTAGGTGGTAGTTGACACGGCACAGATTGAAAATAAAGAAGCCTATGCCCCCCAGATCAGTTTAGAAGGCTCCAGAATCGTGGTTCAAGTCCCGTCCACATGGTAATGTGACTCTTGCTTTAACAGAAACCTAAACCATGGTTGAAGTTTATACATCTTTGAAATGATTGCTCTTTTTAAGACAAACTGCATATTATTATACAGGGTGTCCATAAAGTTCACGTGCAATTTAAACAGGTTATACAGGGTGTCCATAAAGTTCGTGTGCAATTTAAAATAGATAATCTATTTTAAATTGCACACGAACTTTTTTTTTTTTTTAATTTAATTTTTTTTTTTTTTGAGACAGAGCCTCAAGCTATCCCCCTGGGTAGAGTGCTGTGGCATCACAGCGCACAGCAACCTCCAACTCCTGGGCTCAAGTGAGTCTCCTGCCTCAGCTTCCCAAGTAGCTGGGACCACAGGCGCCCGCCACAACGCCCGGCTATTTTTTGGTTGCAGCCATTATTGTTGTTTGGTGGGCCCGGGCTGGATTCGAACCCGCCACCTTAGGTGTATGTGGCTGGCGCCTTAGCCACTTGAGCCACAATTATTGGTCCATGATGAGGAAGCTTAAGCTGTCTGAAAAATAGGCCTAGTGTGAGAGCTCACGCCTGTAATCCCAGCACTCTGGGAGGCTGAGGCAGGGTGGACTGTCTGAGCCACATGAGTTTCAGACCAGCCCGAGCAAGTGTGAGAATCCGTCTCAAAAAATAGCCAGGAGTTGTGGTGGGTACCTGTAGTTCCAGCTACTCAGAAGGCTGAGGCAAGAGAATCTCTTGAGCCCAAGAGTCTGAGGTTGCTGTGAGCTATGATGGTATAGCACTTTACCAAAGGTGGCAAAAAGAGACTCTGTGTCAAAAAAAAAAGTCTGAAAAATAACAAGCAGTATTATCTTTGTTATTAAGTCTACAACTTTTTTTTTTTTGAGACAGAGCCTCAAGCTGTCACACTGGGTGGAGTGTTATGGCATCACAGCTCACAGCAACCTCCAACTCCTGGGCTCAAGCGAGTCTCTTGCCTCAGCCTCCCAGGTAGCTGGGACCACAGGTGCCCGCCACAGCACCTGGCTATTTTTTGGTTGCAGCCATCATTATTGTTTGGTGAGCCCGGGCTGGATTCGAACCCACCACCTTAGGTGTATGTGGCTGGCGCCTTAGCCACTTGAGCCACAGGTGCTCAGCCAAGTCTACAGCTTTTAAATAATAGTATATCGGGTGGCATCTGTGGCTCAGTAGGTAGGACCCCGGCCCCACATACTGAGGGTGGCGGGTTCAAACCCAGCCCAGGCCAGACTGCAACAAAAAAATAGCTGGGCGTTGTGGTGGCACCTGTAGTCCCAGCTACTCGGGAGGCTGAGGCAAGAGAATCACCTAAGCCCAGGAGTTGAAAGGTTGCTGTGAGCTGTGTGACGCCACAGCATTCTACCGAGGGGGATAAAGTGAGACTCTTGTCTCTAAAAAAAAAAGAAAAGAAAGAAAATGGCCAAGGGACATGAACAGAAAAGAAAACATATGATTAACAAATAGATGGGAAAAAATTGTAACTTCACCTAATAATTAAAGAAAGGCAAATTTAAAAAACCATATGACACCATTTTGCCCAAAATGTTATTAAATTGTTTTAAAATAACAATATTGGCCGAGCAGTGGCTCACACCTGTAATCCTAGCACTCTGGAAGGCCAAGGTAGGTAGATAGCCTGAGCTGTGGAGTTCAGAGAGCAGCCCAAGCAAGAGCAAGTGTCTTAAAAAAATAGCTGGGTGCTATGGTGGTGCCTATAGTCCCAGCTAACAGGTAGGCTGAGGCAAGAGGATTGCTTGAGTCTAGGATTTTGAGGTTGCTGTGAGCTATGACTCCATGGCATTCTACCCAGGGCAACAGAATGAGACTCTGTCTATAAATAAATAAATAAATAAATAAATAGAATAACAATACTCAATATTGTGACAGTACTGGTTTTGCTCAAACTACAAAAACAGGCAAATGGTTTATTGAATAGAGAATAAACACAACATCAGCAATTCTATAATTTTACCTCTAAGGATAAACAGTAAATGGCTGGGTGTGGTGGCTCAATCCTGCAATCCTAACACTGTGGGAAGCTGAGACAGGAGTCTCACTTGAAACTAGGAATTTGAAACCAGCTTAGGTAGCATAGTGAGATGCTATCTCTACAAAAAATTCAAAAAATCAGCACGGTATAGTGGCACACACCTGTAGTCCTAGCTATTTAGGAGGCTGAGACAGGAGGATCATTTGAGCCCAGGAGTCCAAGGCTGCACTGAGCTATGTACAATCAATATATTGCACTCTAGCCCAGGAGACAGAAATTCTATGTCTAAAACAAACAGGAAAAATTAAGCGTATATTACAATAATGTAATACAATTTCTTTGTAATATAAACATACATATATATATATCCCCCACCATAAATTCAACCACATGGTAAAACATTTTCTTTTATATTGGTAATCTTGGTGAACAATTATAAAGAAAACATATAAATCATTTAAGTAGGAAGAGATAGAGATAGTAAGAAGCAGAGGCACTGTTGGTACCTATGTGGACTAAAATTAGTAACAAGCTAGTCTTTTTTGTTTTATTTGTTTATTTATATTTTTTATTAAATTATAACTTTGTACATTGATGCATTTATGGGGTTCAGAGTACTGCTTCAGTATGCAATGTGAAATGCTTACATTGAACTAAGTAACACATCTGTCACAATTGTACTCATTTCTTAATAGTTTTGAAATGTACCATTGCATCATGTACATTATGTGAGTTCCCCCCAAATGTCCTCCTTTCTCCCATAACCCCCCTCCTATCCCCTCTCTCTCCTCTTCCTTTCTACTTTTCTGGACTACAGTTATGTTTTAACAAGCTATTCTTATTCTTTCTTTTTTTTTTTTTTTTTGAGACAGAGCCTCAAGCTGTCCCCCTGGGTAGAGTGCCATGGCATCATGCTCACAGCAACCTCCAACTCCAGGGCTCAAGCGAGTCTCCTGCCTCCGCCTCCCAAGTAGCTGGGACCACAGGCGCCCGCCACAGCGCCCGGCTATTTTTTGGTTGCAGCCGTCATTGTTGTTTGGCGGGTCCGGGCTGGGGATTCGAACCCGCCACCTTAGGTGTATGTGGCTGGCGCCTTAGCCGGTTGAGCTAGAGGCGCCGAGCCGCTATTCTTATTCTTAAAATGTGAGAATAGAATTCTGATTCTGTTTAAATCCTATGATATATTATTAAGTAAGGGTTAGCAGTTCACTTTGTGTCCCCAGACCTTTCTATTAGTAACCATCAAAATTTTAATTTGAGTGGTTGGATGGTGTACTATGTCCTGAAATCAATCAAATAGTTAAACAAAAGTTCACTTCTATCTTTTTTTTTAGAGATAGAGTCTCACTTAAACACCCTTGGTAGATTGCGGTAGCGTCACAGCTCACAGCAACCTCCAGCTCTCGGGCTCAAGTGATTCTCTTGCCTTAGCCTCCCAAGTAGCTGGGACTACTGGTGCCACCATAATGCCTGGCTATTTTTTGTTGCAGTTTGTCTGGGGCCGGGTTTGAACTGGCCACCCTTGGTATATGGGGCCAGTGCCCTACCCACTGAGCCACCAGCGCTGCCCCAAAGCTAACTTTTCTGAAGGATTTCTACATTTCTAAAACCTTAAATTGCTTTTCCAATTCAAGTTTTCATTTAAAAATATTAAACTTAATTAGAATTCTCATTTTGAAGCAAACAGTTTGTACTTTTGGAGAGTTGGATTTCTATAAACAGGTAGTACTAAAATGGTTAACACTTCAGTTTACTTACAAAACTCTGTATAGAGCGGTGCCTGTGGCTCAAGGAGTAGGGTGCTGGCCCCATATACCGGAGATGGCGGGTTTAAGCCCAGCACGGGCCAAAACTGCAAAAAAACAAACAAACAAAAAAAAAACTCTGTGTGGTTGATTGCCTTAGTAATTCAATAGCACCTCTGTGAAAAAGACCTTACAGTGTGATTCCTTGCAAAGGCTCCCTCTGCTGGCTGCTTTTGGTAACAATGTAATATTTTAGTAGGTTTTTTTGTATTTTTGTTTTTGTGGATGTGGGCATTTGTGAAACAGGATCTGGCTCTGTCAACTGGGCTAGAATACAGTGGCAAGTTCATACCTCACTGCAACCTCAAATTCCTGGGCTCAAGCAATCCTACTGCCTCAGCCCCCTCCTCCAGTGGGTGGGACTACAGGTATGTACCACCATATCCACCTAATTTTTTTTATTTTTTGATAAGCACAGGGTCTTGCTGTAGCCCAGACTGGTCTTGAACTCCTGGCTGTAAGCAGTCTTCCCCCCTTGGCCTAACAAAGTGCTAGGATTACAGGCCTGGCCCATAAAAGTTTAGTTTTTTTCTTTCTTTCAAATGACAAAATACTGTATGTGCTTCTTGGGAACAATTCAAACAGAAGTAATTGGTTTACTTCCCCTTGAGATAAATGATAATATTGTTAGCAAAGCAACTCAAGAATTTATTAATGCTTTGCTTTTAGGGTCCAGCTGCTAGATGGGGCTTTTTCCAAATAGAATAATATCTTACTTACCTTTTTCTTTAAACTGTCATTTTTTTTTTTGGCCAGGGCTAGGTTTGAACCTGCCACCTCTGGCATATGGGGTCGGCGCCCTACCCTTTTGTGCCACAGGTGGCTGCCCTAAACTGTCATTTTTTTTTTTTTTTTTTTTTGAGACGGAGCCTCAAGCTATCCCCCTGGGTAGAGTGCCATGGCATCACGCTCACAGCAACCTCCAACTCCTGGGCTCAAGCGAGTCTCCCGCCTCAGCCTCCCAAGTAGCTGGGACTACAGGCGCCCGCCACAGCGCCTGGCCATTTTTTGGTTGCAGCTATCATTGTTGTTTGGCGGGCCCGGGCTGGGGATTCGAACCCGCCACCTTAGGTGTACGTGGCTGGCGCCTTAGCCGCGTGAGCCACAGGCGCCGAGCCAACTGTCATATTTTTAATATTTAAGCTATCCGTCCCTTCTTTCTTTCAACAGATACTTGCTAAATACCTACTATGGGGCCAGACA